GGACGAGGACAGAGAGCCCGAGAGCGCACGGATGCAGCGGGCACAGATGGCCGCGCTGGCCGCCATGCGGGCCGCCGCCGCGGGCCTCGGACACCCACCCAGCCCCAGTGGCTCCGAGGACGGGCCCCTCGGCTCAGAGGACGAGGACGCGGCCCGGGAGGGGGCACCAGGCTCACCCGCCCCGCCCGGCCGAGGCAGGGAGGCGCCAGGACACGCCGAGGGCGACAGGCACTTCGAGGATGTGGGCTCCGATGACGACCTGTGAGTCAGGGGTCCGCAGGCTACACAGACTGAGCAAGCGTTTATTGAGCGCTTACTGTATACTGGGCAGCTCAAGCCTCTGGGGACAGGGCCATAAAGGAAGGATAGAACGTGTGCCCTCCTGCTGACCGCCAAGGGCAATGCCATCCTTTAGAACTTTCTGGATGATGATGGACATGTCTTCCGTCTGTACCGTCTAGTTGGGGAGCCACCAGTCACACTGGCTGTTGGGCACTTGAGATGTGGCCGGTGCGGCCAGCGGTCTGAGTTTGTAGCTTTATTTCATCTTAATTTACATGGAACCAGCCCCATGTGGCTGGTGGTCCCCGTGGCCCGGCGAGGCCTCAGCAGATTCGGGGGCAGGTAAAGTCCGTGGCCCGCATGGGAGCTGCCCACAGTGGCCGTCGGTTGACCCACCCGGGTACCGTGCAGGCTGAGCCGGGCGCTGGCGATACCCGGTGGGATCTTTTTGGGAGGACCTTTAACAAGGAGAAGCGGGGAGACACGGGCTGTGATGGGGGGGGGGCTGTGGAGGAAATAGAGCAGAGGTGCGGGGAGGAGGTCGGCTGTGGAGAATGGTGGGCAGAGGTGACAGTCCCTGGGAGGGCGAGGGGAGCTGGAACGGCATGCCTGGTGGAGGGAACAGCCCGAGCAAAGGCTCTGAGGCGGGAGCCGGGTTGGCGTTTTCAGGGCCGAGCGAGGAGGCCTGTGTGGTGGAGGGAGAGGCGTGGGCGGAGGCGGGGTTGGCAGCCGGGCAGGGGCTGAGGTTTATGCTGAAGGGGCAGCGGGGGGTGCTCTCCCGGGCTGTTTGGGAACGAGAGTGTGGCCCGGCCTGGCCCCGAGCAGCCAGTGCTGACAGGCCCTCTGGGCAGCCGGGGCAGGTGGTCAGAGAGGGAACCCGAGGCGAGGCCGGGGCGAGCTGGCGCCGTCTCTCCTCACCTGTGCTCTCTGCCCGCCCCAGGAAGCAGAGATGGGAGGAGGAGGAGGAGGAGGAGGAGCTGGAGGAAGACCTGGGAGACGAGGAGGAGGAGGAGGAGGAGGAAGAGGAGGAGGACTACGAGGACGAGGAGGGGCTCGGCCCCCCCGGCGCCGCCGGCCTGGGCCCCGCGGCCCTGTTCCCCCGCAAGGCGCAGCTGCCCCAGGCCTTCCGCGGCGACGGCGGGGCCCGCGCGCTGGGTGGCCTGGAGCGGGCCGGAGCTGGCCCGGCACCGCCGGGAGGGGCTGCCCACGTGGCACCCCAGCTGCAGCCGCCCGACCACGGGGACTGGACGTACGAGGAGCAGTTCAAGCAGGTGGGCTGCGCGCGGCACGGGGGCGTCGGGGGTGCTGCTGGGGTCCTTCCAGCCGGACGGCCGGGCGTCTGATTGCGACCCAGGGGTGGGACGGGCCGGCCGGTAAGTGCACGAGTGCGTGGCTGCCAGCCGGGGGGGGGAGGTTTCGGGGGTCCACCGAGCAGGCAGAGCGAGGAGAGGGGTTCTGAGTGAGGGGACGCCCCGGCTGGCCCGAGGGGGGGCTGGCCTGGAGCCCGTTGGTTGGGGCTGGGCGGCTGGTGTGAGCAGGGGCGGCCACGTCGGTGTGGACGGTGTGGACAGACCGCCTGCCGGCAGCCTCCCGGGGCTCCGCGGGCGGGGAGGAAGCGGGGCCATCCTGGTGCCTTCCCCGCGGGCGGCCGGGGCAGAGGAAGTGGCCGGGCGGGGAGCCTTTGAAGTGGGGCCGCGCGGAGCCGGGCAGATGGAAACCAGATGGCGGCCGCCCGGCCGGCCGGGCTCGCATTCCAGCCCGCGGCCAGCTGGGCCGGCCCGACCTCCGGGAGCGGCCGGCGGGGACCTGGCCTTAGCTGGGCTTTGGGGGCTGCGGACGCGCCAGCGGGGGCGCGGGAGGTGGTCCCTGGGGCCGCTGGCCTCCCCGGCCACCGGGTGGGGCCCCTCAGCCTGACGAAGCCCGTCGGAAATCAGACAAAGTGTAGCAACTGGACCCACGACCGAGGGAACGAGCCAAGGGCTGGGGTGTAGGGACGATGGACGGACGGGGCGGGGGGGAGGGTGCCCGCGAGGCCCGAGGCGGGAGCCAAGCTTCGAGGAACGGGAGGGACGGCTGATCCCCCGCCTGCCCGTCTGCCCCAAGCTGCCCAGGCGTCTGGGGCTGGGTGCGGCGGCCTGGCCTCCCGCCGGGGCCTGGCTCGCGGATGGCGGTGCCGACGGCTGGAATGACAGCCAGCAGGCGTCACCTCTGAGGGGCGTGGTCGGCCGCGCCCCACGCGTGGCCTGGGCTGCCCCCTCCAGGCCGGGGGGCTGTGACCCTCTGGGAGGCCGGAGCCAGACGACACCCCCGGCCTCGAAGGGTCACGGCCGGGTCTGGGAAGAGGGACAAGGCCTCGCGACCCTCGTGGGGTCAGAGACTGACAGGAACCCCGGCCCCGCCCAGCGGCCCCAGCTCCCGGGGCCCGATGCCAGGCCAGGTGGGGACGAGGGGTCACATGCTCGGACCCCAGAGCCCCCTCGGCACGTCGGGAACAAAGGGCCTTGGGAGCATGTTGTCCACTTATCAGGACACGATGATGATGTCTCAGGGACACCCAGAGTCGGGGCTCGGGTGGGGAAACTGAGGCAAGAGGGGGCCGAGCCTGTAGGAGAAGGAGCCAGGGGCACAGAGGAACAGTGTAGCTGGCAGAAGGAACAGCCGTGCAAAGGCCCTGGGGTAGAACTGGCCTCCACCTGTGTGTGGGGTCCGGGCGCTGCAGGGCCAGGTCTGGCGGGGAGTGGAGGGGATTCCCAGAGGCGGGGGGCCGGGGAGCTCATGGGCAGGTGAGGATCTTCCCAGCCTGGCTGTGGCGGGTCCAGCTGGCCCGGCACCTGTGCAGCCAGTGTCAACAGTGGCCTGGGCCCAGCCGGCCCGGCAGATGTGGGGCTGTGTTGACTCTGGCGCCCGCCCCACCCCCTTCCTGGCACGTGGCAGCCGGGCCGGCCGGCCGCCCACTTGGCACCATCTCGGCTTCTTCCTCTCGGTCTTGGCAGGGCCCGGGGCTGCCTTCCGCCCACAAACCCTCGACAGCCGCGAGATTCCACCGTCGGCCACGGGTCTGGGGGGCAGCCAGGCTGGGGAGGGGCCAGGGCGGCGGGCTCCCGGCCACGGAATCTTTCCTTGAAAACCCGGAACCTCGCCGCCGGGGGCCCAGGCCGTGCGCTGGTGGAGGCCACGCATCCGGAGCCCCTGGCAGGGGATCGGGGTGCGTCACGGGCGGTAATTAGGATCTCAGCCTCCTGGCGTCCGATGTGGCATCCTGGTGACCCCGTGGCGGCTTCCTGTCACCGACACCGCCACGCCTGGGCTCCAGAAAGGGCCACTGTGGGTTCTAAACCGGCAGACTCTTAATCCCAGGTCTTCAGCCGCTTGAGGATTCGAATCCTTAGTCTCAACAACTCAAATAAACGTTGAGGTCTCTTTTAACAGCTTTATGGATGTGAAGTTAACACAGCACGTAATTCATCCCTTGAAAGTGTGCAGTTCACTGGTTTTCGGTACATTTACAGAGTTACGTGGCCGTCGTCAGTTAATTATAGAACGTTTTCATCACCTCAAAAATAGACCTTTTTAAATGTACCCTTTACATTTACCCTTTAGCCAAATGTGCCTTGTAACCATTATCCCCCCAACCAACCCCCCTCCTCCCCAGCCCCTGACAACCAGGAACCCACGTTCTGTCTGTGGATGTGCCCGTTCTGGACACTTCACATCAATGGGATCACACGCCGTGTGTCCTTCTGTGTCTGGTTCTCTCACTGAGCGTCGTGTGTTCAGGGTCCATCCACGGTGTGGCTGTGTCAGGGCCTCACTCCTCTTCATGGCTGAGTAATACTCCAGTGTGTGGGTGGACACTGGGGTTGTATCCACCTTTGTCTGTTGTGAGTCATGTTACCGTGCACACGCATGCACAAGTCTGTGTGGGGACGTGTTTCCCGTTTTCTTGGGCCCACGCCTGGGAGTGAAATTGCTGGGTCCGGTAGTGACTCTCTTTCCCCTTTTGAGGACCTGCTGGCTGTCGTCCGCAGCGGCTGCCCCGTTTCACCTTCCCGCCCGCCGTGCACAGGGACTCCGGCTTCTCCGGAGCCGACACCTGTGATTCTGACTCCCGACTCCAGCATCTGGCGGTGCGGCCTGGCGTCTCACTGTGGGTTCGATTTGCGTTAAATGTCGGGAGATTTTCCTTGCTTCCCGGGGCGGTGTCCGCTCTCCACGTAACTTGTCAACGAGCCCAGCAATGTAGAGGTGACAGTTCTGGATAATATTTGTCACCCACCTTCGTGCCACCAGCAGTGTGAGGGTCTCCTGCGTGTCTCGTGCACCCTCACTGGATCCCATGGGGAGGATCGCCTCCGTTGTGCAGATGGGGAAACCGAGGCACGGAGTGGTCCAATCACGTGGTCACAGGGGAAGGTGTCAGAGCTATGATTTTTTTTTTTTTTTTTGCTGAGGAAGATTGGCCCGGAGCTAACATCTGTGCCCACCTTCCTCTATTTTATATGTGGGACGCCTGCCACAGCATGGCTTGATTAGCGGTGTGTAGGTTCACACCCAGGATCCAAACTCTCGAATCCCGGGCCACCAAAGCAGAGCGCATGAACTTAACCACTATGCCACCGCACCAGTCCAGAGCTGGGATTTGACCCCAGGGTGCGCTGGGTGAGGGGCAGGGGGGCGAGCCCTAGGGCCAGGGGGCCGCTGGCCGTGGGGTTTGGGGGAGCCTGGTGGCCGCTCTGAGCCTGTTTCCTTCGTCTGAAATGGAGGTGGCTGGTCTGGGGCCTGAACACACGTGGGCGCTCGGTGGGGCTCTGGGCCCGAGGCTGCCTGTCCTCGCCTTGGATCCTGCCTGCCCCCTCCCAGGCCCCCGGGGCTCATTTTGTTCCCATGGGTGTCCTGCTCTGTCCCAACATGTGTGGCCCTGGAAGTGGGTTTGGGCAACTCAGAGACGTCCGCCCCCAGAGGCTGGGGTCCCGTTTTATTTTGTTTCTCGTCCTTTCAGCTCATGTAGATTTTTGGTTTTTTTTTTTTTTTTTTTTGCTGAGGAAGATTAGTCCTGAGCTAACATGTGTGCCAGTCATCCTCTATTTTATATGTGGGTCATCCACCACAGCGTGGCTGATGAGTGGTATAGGTCTGCATCAGGGATCCGAACCCACGAACCCGGGCTGCTGAAGCAGAGCACACTGGACTTAACCACTATACCACCAGGCCGGCCCTAGATTTTTTTAATTATGGAAAATACACTCCTAGACGTTTTTAAGTCCATTTTTGATTGCAAAGGTGACACTTGACACCGTTCTCGTAGAGAGAAGAGATGGAGCTTTCCAACCAGCCCCCGCCCTCACCTGGCTGGCATCGGCTGTGGGTTTCCCAGGCCTTTCTCTGTCCATTTACGCACAGAAATGTGACATTATCAGCCAGTGCCTGTTGTATAGAATGTTCCAATCGCCTGGTTCTCGGCAGGCTGGGGCCAACACCAGCCCACTGGTCTGTTCTCTCTGCTGTGTCCCTGTTGTAGGCGATACCGCCGTGAACATCTTTGGGCTCAGGAGAGTTCCCCCGGGGCAGTGTGTGCTGAGGATGGGGAGCCGGAATTGCTGGGCTCAGGGAGGAGGTGGCAGGTGTCTTCCTCCTGCCTGGGAGCCCCCCAGGCTTGGGGGAGCCAGAGCTGGACACAGGCACTCCCAGCCCTGAGAGGAAGGGGGTTGAGGAAAAGGCTGCCAGGAGGAACGGGCTTTGCGGCTGGGGCTTTGTGGGATATGTAAGAGTTCACAGATGGACAGAGAAGGATAGGGTTTGCATCTTGGAATGGTGTGGCTGGAGCATAAAGAAGGATGGGCAGAACATCAGGGGAAACCAAAGGTGGGCTCAGAAGGGGGCCTTGGCAGGGTTTGGAGCTGGGGGGAGAGAGATGCTGGGAGCACCCTTCAGGGGTCCATGATCCAGCGGGACTGGAAGGGGCCAGCACTACAGAGGGGCTGTGAGACCAGGAGAGAAGGGTGAGAATTCTTCCGGTGGAAGAGTGTTCTGGGCAGAGGGCACGGCCTGGGTTCTGAGCCCGGCAACCTTCAGCTGATGCACCTGGGACAGGGCAGCCGGGGACCTGGCCCCGTGGGTCCCGTGGGCCAGCTCGGGCGCCAGGCGTCTTCCTGGGGCCCCGGGAGCCGGGCCGTGTGCAAGGGGAGGGGTGGGGTGTCGGGAAGCCCCCCAGGAGCCCGGCCCACCCCTCCCGGGGCAGCGCCCGCCTCATCAAAGGCTCTGTGGCTGCTGG